CATTCCTCTGGAGGAAAAAATTGTCTTTCTTCAGAAAAACACCTTCGATAAGCCACTTTGCGTGTGGAGGGTGAGGGATTGAGGGCATCTTTTAGAAAGAGGCAGAGACACAAAGAGAAAGCCAAGCCATTCTGCATGAGAAATGAATAGCACTTCTGGTTCAAAATGGCAGACTGAGGCCCATAAATTAACCTCCAATCTCTCCAGAGACCCCATTAAAACGGTGCTGAAAGAATGCAAAGGCAAATAAACGCATCGGGATAAAGGGGATAGGTAGCGAGGTCAGAATTATCAGCAGATGAGACATTTCGACAGCCCTGGGAAGCTCAGGACCATGAGAGAGGGTGGCAGAGGCCCTGGTGCGGGAGCCAGGAAGGTGGTGGCTGCAGAGGAGCCAAAGCCTGGACCAGGTTGGGGCGGGCAGGGAGGCTGCCGCAGAAGCCTGGTCACCGCCCTCTCCCTCGGTGCAGGTTCCATCCTGTAAAGGGCAGGCAGTAGGGCTTCTGCGGTGGCACTGAGCCCCGCAAGCCTTCTCATTCTGGCCCAGCCTTTCTGGTGACTTTTCTGCCTACACCCCGAGGCACAGCCCGTCACTGAGGAGCTCTGTCCTCTGGCCCCTTCTCTCTCAGGAGGCCCATCAGGGAGAGGGACTAACATACACAACGGCTACCTGGAGAGTCAGTAGGGTCTGTATTTTTAAATCCTAGCACACAACCGCAGATGACCAGGTATACCAGAAAACCCAACAGAGTGGGGGTTAAGTCCAAGGTAAACAAACAAAACAAGCGACTGGAAGGAAATACAATTCACTCAAAGAGCAGGAGAAAACTTTCTACATGCAAACTAAGAAATTCACAGAACTTCAAGACAACATCGCAGCCATTGCCACCCACCATCGTCATCGCTGCCATCACATAGCTGACCCTTCCCCAGCGCTTCCCTGGGACAAGCACTGCCTTAAGACTCACTTAAGCTTTATAATCGTAGGAGGCACTGATTACAACCATCCCCACGTTGGAGACAAGGAAACTGAGCATAAAGACATTAAGTGACACAACCAGTAAGTGGCTGAGTTGAGACCTGAACTCCACTAGTTTGATTTTCTGAGTTTGTGCTTTTAATTACTACATTAAACTTTCTCTCATTAAAACTAAAATAAAATAAATTGACAGTTTTTAAAGACCAAAAACAAAACAAAACTAAGTCTACCCAAACAAGTCTATAAAATAGAAATAACCAGAGAACAAGGAAGTCCTTGTGGAAATTAAAAATATATGATTGCCAATATAAAAAATATTTACAGAAGAGCTAGAAGATGGTAAGTCAAAGATACCTCCCAGAGTATAGAAGAAGGTGGGGTCTGGGGGAGGGGGGAGGGAGAGAGAGAGAGACCCAAAAGAATTATTCAAGACTATTTCCCAGAGCTAAAGAAAATCACAAGCCCTTTAGGCTAAAAGGACATACGAAATATGAATAAGTGCCCCACACATTGATGGCACTTGAGAAGGACAATGATAATGAGAGAAGCAGTATGCAACCATACGGACTGGCTGATCACCTCCAGCCTCAAGTGGTCCCCTGACATTACCCTACACCTCACTACACTTTTTTAGGCCACTCATTCTCCCATTCACACTGGCCGTTTTTTCACATCATTTCCTCTCTTCTCAGTTAGTCATGCACCGTGCCCCTGTTTTCTCTCAGCTGACAAAATGAGAACAGCAAAAGGACTTGCCCAAGCACCCAGCTACCTGCACCTATGCCTGAATATGCTGCCTTTACTCGCAGCTGCTGCACACCACGCTGCCTGTCTTACACCTAAAACCAACATGTTGTTTCATTCATACATCTAGTTTTCCTCTTCCCTGTTCCTGCACAATATTTTTTTCTTTTTCTTTTCTTTCTCTCTTTTTCTTTCCCCCTCTTATCTCATTTTTTTTGCTTTTCTTATCTTGGGTCTACCTGCTTTCTCCTCTATTTTCCTTTTCAATTTTTTTTAACTTTTCTTCCTCCTTTATTTTAAACCATTTTCCTTCCCCTGTACCCCAACTCTTTATTCTTATTTTCTTTATTTCAGCTCTGCACCTACACGCTCCCCCCCACCCTTTTTTTGGTATTTGTTTGTGTGGGGGTGTTTTGTTTTGTTGGTTGTTTTGTTATTTTTCTCCTCGTATATTTTCTTTCTTTTCTTCTATCATTCTTCCTCTCTTTTCTCTTTCTTAATTCTTTATTCTCTGGTGGTTGCTGTTGCTGTAGTGGGCTTGTGTATGTTTTAGTTTTGTTTCTTTTGTCTCGCATTTTGTTGTGATGTATTAGGTCCTGTTCTGTCAGCACCTCCACAACAACTCACTCGATGTGGGCAAAGGAAATAAAGGAGAAAATAAACAAATGGGACTATATCAAAATAAAAAGCTTCTGCACAGCAAGAGAAACCACCAACAAAACGAAAAGGGAGCCCACATCAATAAAGTGAAGAGAGCCCAATGATACATCCAGTAAGGGGTTAATTTCCAAAATATATAAGGAACTCATACAACTTAACAAAAGGAGGACAAACCATCCAATTTAAAAATGGGCAAAGGACCTAAATAGACACTTCTCCAAAGTGGACATACAGAGGGCAAGAGACATATGAAAAAAATGCTCAAAGTCACTAAGCATCTGAGAGGTGCAACTTAAAATGACAATGAGGTATCACCTGACACCTGTCAGAATGGCTATCATCAACAAATCAACAAATGACAAGTGCTGGCGAGGATGTGGAGAAGAGGGAACCCTAGTGCACTGCTGGTGGGAATGCAGACTGGTGTAGCCACTATGGAAAAAAGTATGGAGTTTCCTCAAAAATTAAAAATGAAACTGCCATTTGACCCAGTGATCCCACTTCTAGGAATATAGTCTAAGAAACCTGAAACCCCAATCATTGCACACCTATGTTCATAGCAGTGTAATTTACAATAGCTAAGACTTGGAAACAGCCCAAGTGCCCATCAGCAAATGAGTGGATAAAAAAAGCTGTGATACATTTATACAATGGAATACTACACGGTGGAAAAAATAAAAATAAAAAAGAAGGAATCCTTACCATTTGCAACAGCATGGAGGGGTCTGGAGAGCACTATGTTCAGGGAAATAAGCCAGTCGGAGAAAGACAAGTATCACACAATCTCACTCATATGTGGGATCTAATGAACAAAATAAACTGATGAACAAAATAGATCCTGAAACATAGAACCATGAACAGGCTGATAAATTTCAGACGGAAGGTGGGGGTGGAGGGAATGCATGTGGGGGAGAGGTTAACCGGGAAATGTATATGCATATATGCAGAGCCCATGGACACACAATAGTGTGGCAAAGGCTTGGGAGGCAGGTACAGGGAGGGAGGGGGACAATGGAGGACAAAAAAGACAACAACAAAAAAAGCAAAATGGACATTGTTGTAATTCTTTCAACAATTTTATAAACTAAAAACAATAAATATCAATGAATAGCACTGAATTAAGTGATGCTGAAGTAACAACCATAACTCTCATCGACTTAACACATGAAAGTTAATTCCTTGGTCAACCTATACGGCCCAAGCGGCCCAGCACGGCCCTCCGCTTACCCTAGTCGCTCTTGGCCGAGGTGCCGCCATCTTGGGGCTGTGCCCTCTAGAGCAGTGGCTCCCAACGTGGGGCAGATGCCCCACAGAGGGGCAATTTGATTGCTAAGGTGGGGCAATTTGAGAATGAGTCGTTAACAGTGAATTTTGTGCATTTTTTATGGTCCTAGGGGCCTCATATACAGTCTGTAAATACATATTGTGGCATATTGATGCATTTTATGTCTCTAGTATATTTTGAAATTTTATTTGCTATTTTTCATGTCACTTCATATTATTATTTTTTAAAAAACAATTTCTTAGTGCTTTCTTCCTCAGGACTTCAA